TTTCCTCTGCAGGAAGATGTTTTTCTGTTGAGTTTATACTATAGAGATTAGCTTGGTGTATATTAATTTCTAATTCACTTAATCATTTTGAAGGCTCACTTCCTCCCCTTGCTTAGACCTTTTATTATCACCAAATAAGTTGTTTATTTAAATACTTTTGTGCCAGGCACAAGACCTGGCAGATGCATCAGCAAACTCTTCAAAAATAATTATATTTTGAAATTATATTGACAGGAAACCTATTAAATAATTCCAACCACCAGTCTAAAGGAACTGAAAGCAATTCTTTAAGCCAGGAAAGTTATCTCAAATAATACATCCATATTACCATAACCAATTTATTCTGCCAAAACTCATTTTATTGGTTACACTCCAAAGTGGAAGTTAAATAAACTGTATGTACCCAGGCTTTAGAGCACTTCATCTCTTAGCAATTTTTCATGCGGGCTAGAACCAGGAATGTTCATTATTAATTATCCTGGAAAAAAAAAGAAAAAGCAACCTAATTAGCAGCAAATACCTGTGCACCTGCAGTCTTCCAGCCAGCAGCTTTTCCTTGCCCAAAAGGAAGGTAAAATAAAGGAAACTAAAACTTCCCACCAAAACCAGCCACTTCTAAAACCCCAACACAACACTGCTGAAAGGAGGCATCACATACGTGCAAAGCCATCATCTTTGGCTCGAGCACCAGCCAGTGTTTTCATAGGCAGAAAACACCTGTTCTCAAGTGCCACTTTCCAAATAAGGGGAGAAGGACAGAGGAGGCTATGTCTGCAACACAGAGTCAGCACTCACCCTCCCACCCTGCAAAGCTTCCGCGCCAGCATCTCCAAGCTGCACCGGATGGTACGCCCTGGTGACTGGTGTCTGTGGCTTGGCCCATGGGTGGCTTCCCCGGCACCTGGAGGCTCCTGGGATGGGAATGAGGTTGGGAAGGTGGGGAGGAGGGATGCCAAGCAGGGGCAAGGGACCACACCACTCCAGCAAACATGAACCGACCCAGCAGTGGGACGTGCACAGCAACATCTTCCTCCATGCAATGCACATCACTCTTAACTTGGTCAGCAGCAGGGATTAAATGACATACAGAGAGATATGTTTTACTGTAGCTGTTCACATACTAGAAGACTGCATCCTCAGTTTCTGTCTCCCAGTCAAGAAATCAGCTTGGGCACAGGAAGGAACAATAACATGGTGCAAACCATGGGCATAAACATCTGCAATAAAGAGAAGAAAGCCCAAAGGTCCTTTTTATCACTTAAATGTTAATCTGACTAGTAATTCCCTACATCTAATTAGATATGAATTCTCCCCTTCACAGAAACAAGCTGATTAGCAAACATAAGCATAACCCAGCATTAACCTTGCCACTACAAGAAGAAAAATGGCAGGTTCCTCTCTTAATGTCTTGACTGTTTGCTAGGTAAAACAAATGACCACCTTTCATTTGTATTAGAAGTTGAGTTGTTCTCAAACAAAGCAAACACACAAAGGCCTCTGTTGCTTATTTTACAGCACTGTAAAAGCACGTTTTACAGCTGTGTTGCAGGCAATCTGTACTCATTAAATTATCACTCTGACAAGCTTCCTGTGAAAAGCTGTCAAATGCAAACATTTTTCACAGACGACAAATCATACTTTGCTGGTGCTCTCTGAGACGCTGCTATCAGGAGGGATGGCAGGCTCTCTTTCCCCTCCAGTTATCTTGTTTAAACTCATAGAACAAGGGCTGGCCCCTGCGTCGACAAACACACAGCTGGGAAGGGCTTCACGAACTGACCCGCAGGAGCAGCACGTGGCTTGAAGGTCTCCCTGGTTCCATGCAGAGCATGGAGAGATGTCTGGGTTACACGCAGACCACAGACAAGGGGCTGGGCTAACATGGCTCAGCCACCTCTGGTCCAACCTGATACAGGAGCAAGTCCACATTTTACTGCTTCAACTCACCTCAGCTAAGCCCTGATGATGGAAAGTCATCTTGTCACTTTGGGTGATGCTCAGGAGGATGAGCGCAGGGGTGAGGGCACCAGTGCTGTCAACAGAGCGCAGCCAAGCTGCCCAATGGGACAAGAACCACAAAACCTTTCCTAATGCCGAGAAGAAAGTTTAAAATTTTTTCATATTGCAAAATAAATCCTGTGGGCACTATGGCCTTTGATGCTCAAAGGAAGATGACATTTCTAAAGCAATTAACTTTTAGAGATAGAAAAGGCAGTAATCTACAGCTCCAGGCTCTGCTTATTCTTTTAAAACGTTCAAATTTCAGGGGAGAATTTCAGTGCCCAATACTGGGGAAAAGCCTGGAGATGTCATGAAATGGTAAGAAAGACTGAATGTAACATATCTGGTATTTCTGCAGTAAAGAGTCCTGTGGAAGGAAAAAAAATAATAATAAAAAAAATCTCTGCTTTTGAACAAACCCTTCCATAAAAGAGTGCAGTGGGAAACATAACCTATATAGTTACTTGGCAATTTCCTTTTTTTCAGGTAATAAGATGTATTACCTGTTTGCAGCTTGAGGGCAGACCAGCCCTGCCAGTAACCCAGTACAGGAGAGCACCACACCTCCCCAAGGTGTTTCCACCTGACATCAGTTTCCACTGCCAGAATAATTCAAAACAATCTTTCTTCCAAATTGCAGATACATGAGCTACTTGAAGAAACACAATCACTCCACCCACCGTGAGGCACGGGAAATCCCACCTCCAGACAACACATCCACTTCCTTGGATTTTTGTACCCAGTATTTTTTATTTTACCTTTGATTCATAGGTCTCATTTGAAAACACCCTTTTCTAGGTAAGAAGGGATGCAACATTTTCCTATTCCTTGTGCTAACGTTTTCAGACATATTAAGAGTTGGATTTTCATACAAGAAGGCTTTTGATGAGGAATGCCCACTGCTGTAGGGTACAGTCCTACCTAAATCAAAGGCAGCTCCTGGAAACTAGATGAACACATCAAAGGGGCACGTTCCTCTTCACCCACAGGCAGGTTTGGCATTTCCCTACGAACACCGGTGACAAAGGAAGCAGCGGCAAAACTGCCTGGCCTAAGCTGCCTCCTGCCACCACCGGCACCCCCTCAGCAGGGCCAAAGTGCCAGTGTCCGTGCCCCAGGCAGAGCGCCCTCCAGGCTGAACCCACAGCCAGCCACTGTAGGAGTGCAAAGTTTTGCCTTGAATTTCCTGACCTTCAGAAACAAAACACATTTATTTCAGAGAAT